CCAAGATGCATTATGTAAAGGTACAATTCCCAATGAGAAATGTAATTGTGTTGTATACCTACAATGTACCAATAAAAGAATTTAACAAAATAAAATAGACATATTCCAATTCTCACCAATCTTTTGATCTTTTATCATTCTATTTACCTCACAGTATCAAAAATAGATCTTAAAGCTTTGGTTTGAATATAAGACATACCCAGTGGTATATTACACTGTGTACAGATGGTGTAAAAAATTTAAATTTCTTCAGGAAAATGTCCTACAGATGGCCTAATATTCCAAAAAGAGTCTGGACTCTGAACTGTAGATTGGATTTGCAGGGCCATTCCAAGGCCAGTGTTCAGGAGCAAGGAGAGAGAACTCATCATCAATGCTTAAGAGAATGGAGAAGGCTGGAGAAGAGTTACAGTGATCCTAAGCCTCTGTAAATTTCTCCATCATCAGGACAGGCCCAGTCCTGGGCAGAGAAGAAGTGAAACTTGGGACCACGGATAGAACAATATACTTGGAAAGACCAAGATAGGCCCACAAAGCCCAACATGAGAGAAACAGCTGCTCAAAGAGGGCAGTAGCACCAGAGATGAGTGTGGTAGTTCATTCCTGGTAGTACAGGCATTTTAGGGATTCACAGAGGGTATGACAGCTACTCATGGGCATCAAACATTGACTTGCAATAAGAAAACATTTCAAACATATGTTCCTTATTAACATAAATGAGTAACACACTTAAATAAGAGATTTGATGGCTGGAAGCTCTCATAACATCAGGCCCACAAGGGGAAATAGGAAAGATCTTTGGTCATTAAAATTAAGGCTGAGAATCAGAGCCTGTACAATACTTATGCTTCTCTATTCCACAATCTTTCTTCTAATTTAAACAGAGACTTCCTTTCAGGTGTAAAAAGTGCCTCAAATTCAGAAAGTACCATCTGTAGTACAGATAACATCTCCACTCTGGAAATGTACAGAACCTAAGAGGTGGCACTGAGAGGAGAGAGATAAAGTTACCACCTGACTCCTGTCTCACTCCAGGTGTGTCCATTTGGGTCTCTGTGCAGAGAGCTCAGAAGGGGAATAGGTGAAGAGCAAAGGAAGGCAAGGACAGCCTTCAGATAAAACCAGACTTGACAGCTAGAAAAGTTCAAGTGCAGCTCAATAGAAGACTCGGTCACACTGAAGGGGAGCCCAGAGCCAGCAATCCCTAGGAGCAGTCCCTGTGTTGGTGAGGAACGACTCGGCCGTAGCATCCCCACTATGCTGAGCCACTGGCTGGCATCAACACAAAGAGCAGGCACGGGCTCAGTATAAATGCCATAACAGAGCCCTGAGGTATGGAGCTAAAGGCTATGGCAACTACGCACCTCCCAGCATTATCTCAGAAAGAAAGATGGACAGCTCACTGCTGTAGCCAGCACAGCTACATGCCCTGCACAGATCCACTGTTCCACCCATATTTGAATACAAGCTTCTCCACAGATCTGGTGGGCCTCCTAGGGGAAAACTTGGAAGAAAACAGCAGGGCAGACTCCATCCCCATTGCTACAATTGTCCTCAGGGCTCCAATTTCTCGTCTCCATCCTCTGGCATCTGTCTAAATACCCGCTCACCATCAGCTATTGCCTTGGCAGGTCTTGCTAGCTAATCTAATTAAGTGACCGAAACTCTCACTCCTAAGGGAACCAAGCAACTAGGAATTGTATTATTCTCCCTCTAGGGTAGCTGTGACGTATCCATTCACAGTTAAAACTAGGTAAGGGAGCAACGTAAGAGGCAAAGAGGCAGATGGCCTGAGCCCTGCTGCCACTGCATAAGAGGAGCCCTCCCTCCTTGGGCCGACGTGCATCGATTACTTGTGTCAAGGTCCTCCTTCCAATTTGCTGGTCCTACACACAGGAGTTTAAAGCACCCTGTTGGCAAACACAGACTGTAGTTATATTGTGCCCTTGCTGTGTCCCCTGCAATTGCTATGGGGTCCAGGACTTCTAACATTACAAGACCAAAGATATAGGGACTCAGAGCCCAAAGCCTCTGGTGACACACTTCTGTTCCCACCTCCTGAGTCTCTCTCCTGGGGATGCAGACTCATGCTGAAGTTTCTAATTCAGTGTGTCTATCACACCCTGAACAGTGGCAGCCCATCCATGCAGAGATCTACTCTGTGTTAAGCTTCACCCGCACCTGTTGGAGGCCACTGCAGACACCCTCAGGCCAGCTGCTACTAGATGGCCAGGCTGTGACTCAGCAGATGTCCCAGCCCAGGCCATTCCCACACAGCTTTTCCAATGAAGTTAAGGCCCCAGTCTGACAGTCAGAGGTGGGATGCACACCTGTGGATCAAGGAGCCAAATGGTGGCACTAAACACACATTCAGCTACCAAGTAAAAGTGATGAATTATACTAGATGTTACCAATAAATAAATAAGATGCAGTTAGCTTAAAGCAGGTTACAGTCTAAGGAGAATGAAATACCCACAGCAATATCTTCCTTTTTCATTAAATACTATACTTACAATAAGAGTATACAAATGGATTTTAAAGAAACTGAGAAGTGGGCCAGGGATTTAGCTCAGTGGCACTGCACTTGCCTGGCAAGCACAAGGTCCTGAGTTTAATCCCCAGTACCATTAGAAAGAAAGAAAGAGAGAGAGAGAGAGAGAGAGAGAGAGAGAGAGAGAGAGAGAGAGAAAGACAGACGGACGGACCAAAAATGGCCCAAATATACCAAAATGGGTTTTTAATATGCCAAATATTCACTAGTTGGTAATATTTAATCCTATTTATAGTGTGCATTACTTGGCATATTAAATATAACTGTAGTTACAGCTTTTAAGAAACCCAAAGTTTTATTCTGTATATTTTCAATTAACATTTCAAACAAGCTGGGCATGACAGTGCATGCCTATAATCCCAGCACTCAGGAGGCTGAGGCAGGAGGGTTGTGGTGAGCTCAGTCTGGGCTACATAGGGAGCTCAAGGCCAGCCTGAACTATACAGCGAGACCCTATCTCAAAAGAAACCAAATAAAAAATAAATAAAATTTCAAGCAAAACAATACTTTCCATATTGCTTAAGTTACAGGCTGTTTCAAACCATATACCTATATCAGGTTCAAACGATAAATCACTAAGTAAATATTGCTAGATAATATGCAAAGATTACTAAGTAATCATTTATATTTTTAGATTAAGCCTAAGTAGAAAATTTCTAAATTTATCCCAGGATCATGTTTATTATTCTGGCTTCACTTGAATAATCAATAAGCTTGGAAAACAAATTTAAAACAGTCCAAAATTTCCAAAGCAAGGAACAAAAACATAGTAACTTTCAGAATAATTTTCTTCCTCACCACTCAAAATAATTCTCTCATACAAATATTTTAACAAGGTCTCATTTGGAAGTACGAAGAAATTGGCAACTCACCTTTGTACACCATAGGGCCTTTCTAAGATAGGCTCTTTGAACGGAGGCTGAATGTGACCAAAATAATCAGGATAGGCGACCTCTGAATATTCTGGGACAGACTTTGTGTTCTTCACAAGCTCAACATAGAGGTCTGGGTCATGAAGGGTTGGTCCATCAGGTACTTCAACTGATGCTTGTTCAACTGATGAATTAGACTCAGTATCTTCATCATCTTCTGTTTCAACTCCAGTACAGCAGAGCTTCCCCAGCTGAACTGTCCGGCCCTCAAAGAGAACATTCCCGTAAGTGGCCATATGAGGACAGGCTTTGGTGCATGTAAGAACAGTAAGCGGGAGACCACAGTCCTTCTTCATTCCCGCAGTCAAGCCTGGGGCTGTCTGTGTGGGAATATTCTGCAATGTGATTCTGTCCAAGGCCTTCACAATATCGCTGTTTAAACCAGAGGCAGATGGAAAAGTTTTGTTCTGATCATCTGACGGCTGCTGTAATGCTCTGTCATTATCTTTAACATCTTCTCTTGCTATACCCACAGAGGCAGGCTTCTTCTCATCTTCTTCTCTTTTAGGAGATACTTTCTCCTTCAGTACAGCTCCTTTTCTTAAACTGCCCACATTCCCAGATGCTTCCTCTCCAGCTGTGGGAACAACAATAGGGCCACGTACTTTCCCATCAAATGCAAAAGGCTTTGGTTCTTTGGAGATTAAATCATAGTCCTTCAAAGGTAAAAAAATAATGTTTTAATTTTTCATCTATCAATATTAAAACATGTTAACTGAAGATCAGATTTGTTTATACTTTAGAAATCTCTGACATTTGACAATTTGAAAGACAAATAAAAGGTATTGCTTTAATTTCATTAACAAAACTCATAATATTTTACTTATTCTATTATAAAACTAGTGCCTGCATATCACAGAAGTATGGAAAACTTTAGAAAAGTATATAGACATTATAGTTATCCAAAGTCCTATTAGAAGAAATGCAGCTACATTGCTATCCTTAATGTAATAAATATTCCCAAGTATCTATCAGTAACGATATTTATGGAATGTCTGTTTGCATTGCTTCAAGTATTTGAGACAGCAGTTTCCTAGCTTATATTCTCACAGTGATGGGAGAGGACTGTCAATGCGACGTCACTGACATGACATAAATAAATATGTATTACACATGATATAAATAAATATACTTTATATTTTGGAAGAGTAAAGTGCTACAGCAAAAGGGGAAGGGGGAAATACAATGTGGACTGGAAATCCCAAGGGGAGGAGAGAAGAATGCCACTGGTTAGGGAATCCCACTGAGCAAAGAGAAACATCAAAGGCTTTACAGAGGCGGAGGGCATGTGGTGAGGAGCATTCTAGGCACAGAGACTGCCAGTGCACGGGCCCCAGAGCAGGAGAATGTCAGGTGATGAAGGGCAGCGAGGTCAGAACGGCTACGACAAAAACAAGAGCAACTCCCAGAAGTCAAAGAGGGCTGGGCACTGCAGGGCCTTACAAGCTATAAACTTTTGTTTTTTACTCAGAATGAGCAATAGACAAGTAACACGACATGACTTGTTTTAAAAACAATAACCAAATACAGCATTTCATAACCGTGTCAGTAGACAGTTGGGGACAGATTATTCTTTTTGTTTGTTTTTGCCTGTATTTTTGTATTTTGGGGGGCAAGAGGTGGGAGTGGTGTTATCTTATACACTACAGGATGTTTAGCAGCATTCTTGGGCTCTACACACTAGATGCCAATAATATGCACGCACACACACACACACACACACACACACACACATATATACACTTTGTGAAAACCAAGAGTATCTCCAGCATTTTCAAATGTTTCAAATGTTTCCTGGGAGGCCAAATGGACCGAGTAGAGAAACAGCTCTGGTGCTTCTTCAAGAACAGACAGAAATGGAGAGTCTAACTAATTCTGTTACAGTAAACTAAGGAACCTGGTTGAACATCATTCACTTCTGAACATACCACAGAACAAACTTTATATTCTGATAGACCTGGAATAGGGCAGAAGGTACAAAGAGAAATCACAGATGATGCCAAAGTGATACCATGAACAACTGGAAAAGCACCAGCATAAAAATGTAGTTCCACACATGCAAAGTGAGCTAAGCGTATATGGATGGAGATGGAAAGCTGGCAGTGGTCATGAGTCTAGAGTTCAAAAGAAAAGCCTATACAGGAGATACAGATTTGGGAGTCATTAGCATACAGCTATTACTCCAAGCCATTTGACTGAAAATTATCAATGAAAAGAAACAAAAAAGATTAAAAAACTGAACCTTCAGGTACTCTATAGAGTATATAAAGGATATGAAGATGAACAAGAAAAGAAGATGGAGGAGGAAAAGTCAATCTAGAAAGATGAAAACCAGAAAGAAAAAGGGTCCCTGAAGCCAGGTACTGAAAGGATGTTGCTTACAGATCAATTTGCCTCTTCTCTTTTTATGCCTCTAGAAATACTTTTGATCTAGACAATATTTTTATCAAGGTAAGACAGTACAAGTGATTTTATCACTCTCTCATAGCTGAGCATTTAATTGTCTATAAAACAAAGAATTATGTAAACAAAGAAAATGTGTAATTAAGCCATTTCCAAAATGTTGCTATTATAAAGAACTCTGCAATGAATATCTTTTGCTTAGTTTAGAATGACTTTCTAAGCACTGAAATGTAATTACAGGGTGAGATACTGTATTCAATTGTAATGCTTAATATAAACCATCCAGTTACTCTTTAGTTATTTCCATTAGTGTGTTCCCAGTCTTTCTCAACTTTAAGTATTACAATTTTTAAAAATTTGTTCTAAGCTGACAGATAAGGAATATTATATTTGTTTTAATTTACATTTGTTTACTAGAATAACAATTTTCTATGCTTTGTTAACCAGTATCAATTCTTTTATAACTAATTTGTCTCTGTAATACAGACTTTTCTAGTTTTTTTCCTATACATTTTCACATTAATCTGATGAGCCTTTTAGGCCTATACAGGCCAAATTTGAGTTTCACCATGGGGACCATGAAAAACAGTTCCTGCACAGACTGAGCTGTAAGGGCACAGACTGGAATTGTTGTCAACAACCCTAACAAGGCAGTATTTCTCTTCACTGACAGACAGCACTTGCAGACACCAAAGAACAAAGCTACAATCTTCAAGTTATGCAGTATCTGCCTTAACCTGCCACAGCAGCAGCTCACCCACAGGGCAGTGGGCACCACAGGGCATGACCTCTGTCCTCACATGCCAGAGTAGTTAGTGACCAGCACACAGAGAAGACCAGAGAATGCAGCAGCAATGTTTTTTCTTGTTTTCTTACCGCTTTTTTCTTTCAGAGTTTAAAGAAAATGGACTCATGCACAGAACACTAAGCATTCTGAAACTTGTTTACCCTGGATTTTTTTTTTTATCACTGGTATCCCAGAACGTAAAAAAGTTAGATGTCTTCTGCATGGACTGTATAAAAGATGCTTTGCATATCTGCTTCACTGCATCAACATCTTACTAAAAATGTAAAATGAAAGGAAATGCTTAAAGGTATCTGAAAGCACAAGGTGATACTCATTATCAGTGGTCTTTCTGCTGTGCTAGTGTTTGCCTCTATAACATCTATCATCAGTATTTAGAGGGTAAGAAGTGAATGTAACCGGAATAAATAACACTTTAAAAAACTTAATAGTTCTGCTATAATCAGAGCACTGCCAGATTCAGTCAAACAGCCAGGAGTGGTTGTTTAAAAAAGAAATGACACGGGCCGGGGATTTAGCACAGTGGTGCCATGCCTGCCTCACAAGCACAAGGTCCTAACTTCAATCCCTGATACCAAAAAGGAAAAAGAAATGACAAATATAAAAAATGTTTTAAATTTTTTTTAAAAACTGACAACCATGGGAAAGAAATCTTAAATGACAAAAAACATCACACTGTAGGCATTCTTGCCTCATATTTACTGAGCCATGTTTGTTTTCTTGGTACATAAATATATGTATTTTTTCCCAGCTCTCTTTCCCAAAGTGGCTGTTATAAAAGTATTATTCTGAGTGTAGATGCATCTACATATATCAAAGCAGATACAGAGTCTGAAGTAGCTAAAGCTGCCATAAAACAAAAAAATACATCAATATCTGCAAAAACCGTAAAGTGCAGAAGACTTTTACTTTTTGATTTTTATTTTGCTTTTTAGTGTTAAAGAGAACAAATTTTAATTATAAAGAAAATAATTCCAGTGAACTGTTCCGGTTTTAATACTGTCTTCAAGAAAAAGTTGAGGGTTTTTGAAATAGGAAAAAAAAGTTATTAAAAAGTAAAATTTAAAAACCACCAGTGAAAATTCAAAGTAGAAATAATCTCCCAGATAAATACAGAGATGGTGAGTAGAGTGAAAGACATGATTAGAGGCTCTAGAGCAGAAACAGATAAGAAAATAGATGAGATCAGAAACATGCTGAAAGCCATGAATGCCCAGCATAAGAAAGAAATGGAAACCATGATCGACCAACATAAGAAAAAAATGGAATCCATGAA